AATCCTTTTTTATAGAAAGGTATTGAGCAGACCAGTCATAGTGCCCATGATGACCCCTGTTCACAACGTAAATGTTTTCAATGGAGATGTAGTGCTTCTGGTGACTATAGTGTCCCATGATAGAAAAGTGTCAGAACACACAATACATCGCAGTTTGCTACATATGGTCAGAGAGCCCATGGTTACCCCTGTACATACCTGTAAGTGCCTTCAATGTGGATGTGAGAGTCAGTACTGGACCATGGAGCAATGGAAGAAGGTTGCCTGGCCTAATGAATTATGTTTTCTTTTAGATCAGGAGGTTGGCAGAGTGCATGTGAGTCCTTTACCTGGGGAAGAGATGGCAGCAGGAAGCACTATAGGAAGAGGGCAGGCTGGTGGAGGCGGTGTTATGCTCTGGGCAATGTTCTGCTGGGAAACCTTGGATCCTGGCATTCATGTTACTTTGACACGTACCTCATACATAGAGATTGTTGCAGACCATGTACACCACTTCATGGCAATGGTGTTCCCTGATGGCAGTGTCCTATTTCAGCAGGATAATGCACCGTGCCGCACTGCAAAAAGTGTTCAGGAATGGTTTGAGGAACATGACAAAGAGTTCAAGGTGTTCAATTTTCCTCCAAATTCCTCATATCTCAATCCGATCCGATCCACTAAACACCAACAATTGACAAACAGGACTATACATAGGACACGAGGTCATGCGTTTAGACTGGGAAAAAGAAGACTTAGTCTAAATTAAAGGAATGGTTTTTTTTACCGTAAGAACAATAAGGATGTGGAATTCTCTACCTGAAGAATTAGTTTTATCAGAGCCCGTACAGATGCTTAAACAAGAAATAGATGCATACTTGCGAAAACATAATATTCAATTATATATTTTTTTCAGCTGTAGGGTAATAGCTTATTGATCCAAGGAATAATCTGACTGCCATTCTGGGGTCAAGAGGGAATTTTTTCCTAGTTTGTTGCAAAATTGGAAGTGCTTCAAACGTTATTTTGGGGGTTTTTGCCTTCTTTTGGATCAACAGCAAAAAACAAATGCAAGGAAGGTTGAACTTGATAGACACATGTCTCTTATCAGCCGATGTAACTATGTAATCTCTCAATTTGCAGGATCTGTCTTGATGCCAGATACCATAGGACATGTTCAGTGATCTTGGGGAGTCCATGACTTGACACATCAAAACTGTTTAGGCAGTTTAATGAGGACCTACACAATATTAGGCAGATGGTTTTAATGTTGTGGCTGATCAATGTGTGGGCATGTGTGTGTGTGTATATAATAGACCCTCTTTGAATTCTATGGTTATATATATCAGGACATAATAACAATTGTCTGATCCTTTGGTAAATACGACCTCAGATGAACAACAACTCATGTATTTAGATGTATTTATATATTTTAGAAAAATAGAGCCAAAATGGGTGTGAGAAACCAAGTACACCTTGTTATTTGTCAGGATCGTGACAGGGATCCAACTCGCAGAATGCAGACAGGACAAGGTACGTATACCGGACCTTAGAATGGCCGGACTAACGTGTAGAGGAGACAAAGAATGGTCAAAAGACAAGCCGAGGTCTAGGGAACTGGAGGACAGGTAAGCGAGAGACAAGCCGGGTCAAAGGGTAGGAGAAGGTAGCAACAACGATGATAGAAAGCCAAGTCAAAACCAAATAATCACAAGGAACCAAAAGCACTGAGTGACCAGCCAAGCTAGAACCATGACAGGGCAATGAGTTATTGCAAATGATTCCTTTTTATACCTTGGCTCCTTAATTGGTGACCACGCCTCCAGATTAGTGGTTTCTGGCAATCCGTGACGTCAATGACGTCATGACATCGGCTATTGGGCGTCGCTTCATAAAAGGGGGCGGAGCTATCGCGCCGGCGTGTAAACAGCCGAAAATGCAGAAATGACCGGGAGTACAAGCCCCCATGTGGGGGACCATGTCCTGATGCCTGACCTCCTCTGAGGTGGATATTACAGGTACCATGACATTATTAAATCACTTGTAGAACCTTCTTTAGCAGCTATAACTTGAAGTATTTGTTTTCTATCTGACTTGATTAGTCTCCCACATCATTGTGGAGTAATTTTGACCTACTCTTCTTTACAACGTTGCTTCAGTTCATTGAGGTTTGCTGGTATTTGTTTATGCACAGCTCGCTTAATGTCCCGCCACAACATTCCAATCAGGTTGAGGTCTGGACTCTGACTGGGCCATTGCAACACCTTGCTTCTTTTATTTTTTACCAGTTCTGTTGTAGATTTGCTGGAGTCATTGTGATTATTCTCCTGTTGCATGACCCAATTTTGGCCAAGCCTTAGCTGTCGGACAGATGGCATCACATTTGACTCAAGTATACTTTGGTATGCAGAAGAGTTCATGGTTGATGTAATAACTGCAAGGTTCCCAGGTCCTGTGGCTGCAAAGAAGCCCAAATCATCATGCCTCCACCACTGTGTTTGACGATTAATATGAGATGTTTGTGCTGATATGCTGTTTAGTTTTTGCCAAATGTGGCGCTGTGCATTATGGCCAAACATCTCCACTTTGGTTTCGTCTATCCAAGGACATTATTATAGAAGTCTTGTGATTTGTTCAGATGCAACTTTGTAAACCTAAGCCGTGCTGCCATGTGTTTTTAGCGAGAAGAGGTTTTCTCCTGGTAACCCTTCCAAACAAACCATACTTGTTCAGTCTTTTTCTAATTGTGCTGTCATGACCTTTGCTTCTCTAAGATCACTGCTGATATCGTTCCTCCTTGGCTCCTTGGTGGTAACACACCTGAATGCTCCAGACCAGCAAACTGCTAAAGCTTGGGCTTTTATAGAGGTGGTCACACTTGCTGATGATCAATTAATAAATGGTATTTGATTTGCAGCAACTGTCTGCTACTTAGCCTCTTAATTCCTATCGAAGACGTAAGGGTGTACTTAGTTTTCACACATGGCTTCTCCATTTTGGCTTTATTTATGTTAAATCACAACACGTAATAATGTGTTGTTCATCGGAGGTTGTATTTATCTTATTTGAAGATCTGCTAAGGAACAGTTGATTGCTATTATGTCCTGATATGAAAAACGTGTGGTGTGTTACTGCTCTGTGTGATGTATTGTTGCCCCATGTGGTGAGTTATTGCTCTGTGTGATGTATTGTTGCCCCATGTGGTGTGTTATTGCTCTGTGTGGCCAGTTTTGTCCTGTATGATGCAGAATTTGTTATTGATAGACCTGGACCAGACTTTGATGTTTGTCCTGAAGGCCAGTAATGCCGTGACAATGACTCTATTAATATGTATTGGTCATTAGCATTCCGGACTCTGCAGATAACGGATTGTCTCATTCTGTGGATAGTTCTGCCCATTGTAGGACTAAGAATGGGGTGACACGTACAGAATTCAGAGCAGGATTCACTGTGTCTGACTCCTGTCTTTTTATAACATTAAACTAGACTGCTGCATTGATTTATTTTTCCATTCTGGGAAACCCTGAATGTCATCAATCATCTGCTTGTATGTATCAAATGGACAATGTCCTTGTCACGGAGCAGGGACTTTGCTGTGAAACTTGTGTGGTCAATTTAGTTAAGGTGGTCACTGGAGTAGATAAGCTAAAAAACATTATCTTTAATTAGAAATGCCACTTACTCAGATTTCTAACTGGCAGTAATTAAACGATGGAGAAATTAGAAGTAATGGTTGGTTATCTAGATCTCTTGTCATATTCTGTAAACCAACATCAAAATAATTAAGGCCTCAATTTGACCCCTGTGCTTCACTAAGTCTGCCTTAATCAGGTATTTGTGGGCCACGTTTCTACACAAGGCTAATCATTGCTGGGGTCCATGAGGTATCCTATCACACACTGCATGAGCATTCGTAAGGTCTCTATGCGAATTAAACATTTTTGGGACATTGTCTCGCTTCGTTTTGCTCTCTGCATGGCTATATGGAGAAGGCTCTCAGCTGATCACTGTGAACCCATTGAGAGACATTTTTATTATTATTATTATTGGCATTATAAAGCATCATTTATTCCATAGTGCTTAACATGTACTGTTATTTTTTCAGCTCTAATACTGTATTAAAGGCAAGAAGACTCCTGGACAGTAAGACAGGATGCTCCCGCTAACTTCAATGAGTTTTAGTTGTTATGGTAAAGGGACTGCTAAAACATTACTAAGTTAATGTAGGTTTCACGCGTTGCCTTCCAGTCTGTATTAGTTGATGTCCATGTGCAGTGAGGGGGAAAAAAAAGTATTTGATCCCCTGCTGATTTTGAACATTTGCCCACTGTCAAAGAAATGATCAGTCTATAATTTAATGGTAGGTGTATTTTAACAGTGAGAGACAGAATAACAACAACAAAAGAATCCAGAAAAACGCATGTCAAAAAGTTATAAATTGATTTGCATGTCAATGAGTGAAATAAGTATTTGATCCTCTATCAATCAGCAAGATTTCCGGCTCCCAGGTGTTTTTTATACAGGTAATGAGCGGAGATAAAAAGCACTTTCCAAATCTCAGCTTGTTACCTGTATAAAAGACACCTGTCTCCAAAAGCAATCAATCAGATTCCAAAAGCAATCAATCAGATTCCAAACTCGCCAAGACCAAAGAACTGTCCAAGGATGTCAGGGACAAGATTGAGAAGTGCTCATGCCATTGTACAGAACACTGGTGAGACCTCACTTGGAGTATTGTACGCAGTACTGGAGACCGTATCTTCAGAAGGATATTGATACCTTAGAGAGGGTTCAGAGAAGGGCTACTAAACTGGTTTATGGATTGCGGGATAAAACTTACCAGGAAAGGTTAAAGGGTCTTAACATGTATAGCTTGGAGGAAAGACGAGACAGGGGGAATATGATAGAAACATTTAAATACATAAAGGGAATCAACACAGTAAAGGAGGAGACTATATTTAAAAGAAGGAGAACTACCACAACAAGAGGACATAGTCTTAAATTAGAGGGACAAAGGTTTAAAAATAATATCAGGAAGTATTACTTTACTGAGATGGTAGTGGATGCATGGAATAGCCTTCCAGCTGAAGTGGTAGAGGTTAACACAGTGAGGGAGTTTAAGCTTACGTGGGATAGACATAAGGCTATCCTAACTGTAAGATAAGACCAGGGACTAATTAAAAGTATTTTGAAATATTGGGCTAGATGGGCCGAATGGTTCTTATCTGCCGTCACGTTCTATTGTAGATCTACACAAGGCTGGAATTGGCTACAAGACCATCGCCAAGCAGCTTGGTGAGAAGGTGACAACAGTTGGTGCGATTATTCGCAAATGGAAGAAACACAAAATAACTGTTAGTCTCCCTCAGTCTGGTGCTCCATACAAGATCTCACCTCATGGAGTTTCAATGATCATGAGAACGGTAAGGAATCAGCCCAGAACAACACGGGAGGATCTTGTTAATGATCTCAAGGCAGCTGGGACCATAGTCACCAAGAAAACAATTGGTAACACACTATGCCGTGAAGGACTGAAATCCTGCTGCGCCCGCCAGATACCCCTGCTTAAGAAAGTACATGTACAGGCCCATCTGATGTTTGCCAATTAACATCTGAATGAGTCAGAGGAGAACTGGGTGAAAGTGTTGTGGTCAGATGAGACCAAAATCTTTGGCATCAACTCAACTCGCTGTGTTTATAGGAGCAGGAATGCTGCCTATGACCGCAAGAACACCACCCCCACCGGAAACATTATGCTTTGGGGGTGTTTTTCTGCTAAGGGGACAGAATAACTGCACTGCATCAAAGGGACTATGGACGGGGCCATGTACCATGAAATCTTGGGTGAGAACCTCCTTCCCTCAGCCAGGGTATTGATGGGTCATGGTTGGGTATTCCAGCATGACAATGACCCAAAACACACAGCCAAGGCAACAAAGGAGTGGCTCAAGAAGAAGCACATTAAGGTCCTGAAATGGCCTAACCAGTCTCCAGACCTTAATCCCAAAGAAAATCTGTGGAGGGAGCTGAAGGTTCGAGTTGCTAAACATCAGCATCGAAACCTTAATGACTTGGAGAGGATCTGCAAAGAGGAGTGGGACAAAATCCCTCCAGAGATGTGTGCAAACCTGGTGGCCAACTACAAGATTCGTCTGACCTCTGTGATTACAAACAAGGGTTTTGCCACCAAGTACTAAGTTGAAGGGGTGAAATACTTATTTCATTCATTGACATGCAAATCAATTCATAACTTTTTTGACATTTTTTTTGTTTTGTTATTCTGTCTCTAACTGTTAAAATGCACCTACCATTAAAATTATAGACTGATCATTTCTTTGTCAGTGGGCAGGGGATCAAATACTTTTTTCCCTAACTGTATGATCCAGTCTTCGTGATGTCCATCACTTGGAGCCCAGATCACATCTCTCTTATACTTCCTAGTCTGTCACTGACTTTGCCCTAATTCTGGAAAGATAAAAACTGAACCCTGTGAAACATGCTTCACTACTCTGTGTGACATTAGATGGATTAATAATGTCCCCAACTTTATCTAATCCTGGTCCTGTATAATGATGGACATCCCAAATACTGTATCACCTCATAGTCTCATTTTCAGTATTTTGCCCCCTGTCTACCAGCCTGCTCCCCAGAATAGAAAAAGAGGAATTGGGGGGTGTAGCGGACCCTGGGTAACCCGGCTGGTTACCTCCACTATTTATCAATTAACAGACCCATTTCCCTCCCTGTAACTGGACGACACACAGTTCCAGGGGGTACAACAACAACTTTATTGGCCACATGCGGCTTTATACTTTCCCCATGCAAGGGGTGGGACACACATGAAGTCAATGTCCCCTCCCAGGTCGGGGTTCGTATAATAGAACCGGAACCCCAGTCCCTTTGTCCCCTGTTCCCGCCACTCAGTGTCCCAGGTCTGGGGGGGGGTTGTAGCGCGGGAAACCTCCCGCCTCTTTACCTCCCAACCACAGAGAGCCAGCCAACCTCCATCATTGTCCCCACAGGATGTCCCCACCAATCTCAGGGACCCCCAATCTTCATTCGCGGGGTACCTGTGTGAAGCCCGGCAAGGGAAGTGTCTCTTTCAGGATGTGAATGCTCCCCATGGCCGGTTTATGAACGGCGTCCACCCAGAGCAGCACTCTTTAATTACTTCCCTTGCAGTTTCACACTATGTTGCAAGTTGCCAATGTTCCAGTTGATTGGTGTGAACATTCTAATGGGTGCCGGGGAGGTCCTCATTTGGGAACCGAACAAGGTGGGAAGCAGTCCGCGAATGCTCCCCCTGGATGGCATTCGTCTAATGAATGGGTTGCCACCCAGGGTCGGCACCCGCCGATGCTTCACTTGTGGTTTTGAGTAGGAAGTAGGAAGTAGGAGTAGGAAGTTCTACAAAACACAGGGTCAAGCTAGGGGAAACACACGAAAGGGATGTCAGTACAGCAACACACAATTTAACGGCGGGGGCACAGGGTACAGGGGGCACACCTGGAACAAACATTTCTCAGCAGTTGTATTGATGGCTCGGGGGTTAAAATGTCTGTCAGGCTGTCCTTGCAGGAGAAATTTCCTATATCCAATATAAGCTAACCCTGTAGACTGATTCCCCAAGATTTAGAGTTTATTAAACACGGCCCTGGACACCCTTGCTTTTGCTTTTTCCTACTGATGGCACGCAGCATTAAGACGTCATAAATTTGTGTCCTTGTCATCAGTCTTACAGCTAAAATTATCACAAGGGTGCCATACCACCAATATGTCAAACTGACAAAGAGGGACACTGAAGGTGTGGCCATGGGCGGGGCTGTTTTGAGTGTGATTTGGGGTGTGGCCATAGGCAGGGATGTTCTAAGTGTGAGTGGGGTTGAGGCCCGTGGCCAGCGGTTTGGGGGTAGTTCTGAATGTGAGTGGGTGTGTGGCTGTTATGAGAAATTTTAGGCGACTTTCTAATAACAATTTCTTGAACTAAAATGTAATTTAGAAGAAGAGCAATATATCTTATTTCCATAGACTAATTTCTAAACACACAATACACATTACTGAGAGTATTATTACTGTGAAGCTCTGTTATACATTCAGACACATTATTGGGAGTATTATTGCTGTGGGGCTCTGTTATACACTCACATTACTGGAAGTATTATTGCTGTGGGCCTCTGTTATACACTCAGACACATTACTGGGAGTATTATTACTGTGGAGCTCTGTTATACACTCAGACACATTACTGAGAGTATTATTGCTGTGGAGCTCTGTTATACAATCAGACACATTACTGGGAGTATTATTGCTGTGGGGCTCTGTTATACACTCAGACACATTACTGTGAGTATTATTGCTGTGGAGCTCTGTTATACACTCAGACACATTACTGAGAGTATTATTACTATGGAGCTCTGTTATACACACAGACACATTACTGAGAGTATTATTGCTGTGGAGCTCTGTTATACACTCAGACACATTACTGGGAGTATTATTGCTGTGGAGCTCTGTTATACACTCAGACACATTACTGGGAGTATTATTGCTGTGGAGGTCTGTTATACACTCAGACACATTACTGAGAGTATTATTGCTGTGGAGCTCTGTTATACACTCAGACACATTACTGGGAGTATTATTGCTGTGGAGCTCTGTTACACCTCTGTTACACACTCAGACATACCATTAATATGGAGCTCCTAGAAAAGAGGGAGATTAGGGTAAAAAAGAAAACCATGGATTTGTGCCTGGTGTAGGGACTGTATCTCCTAAGTAGGGACACTTAAGAGGTAGTGGTGTGATTTTTACAAGTCACTACGAGAAACCAATCTCGTTTGTATTGTATTGATGTCCCTTCACACTAACTTTATATCATTTTTCTGTTTTGTAGCAGTAACGGAATAACGTGCATTTAGTAATCTCGTCAACACTGTGTCAGCTTTTTACAGAAATCGTTTTAAATACTTTGCGGGATAATGGGCGCATGTCACATTTATTTAACATCACTTGTAATAAGGTGATAATCTGCGGTTTGACGGCCGGCTTGCTGCCCACTCTGGAACTTGTTTTAGGCTGAGGAACTGTTCCCCCCCAGGGATTTAATAGCTTGCTGCAGCCTCTATTAATAGAATTATAAACAAGTTTCAAACATGGTTATTCTGGCATTAAAGCATCTCAGAGCGTGATCAATGAAATATTGCCTAACGATAAAGGTAATTGATTAGAGTAATAAATCAAATTGGAAATCTAGCATTTACACAGTAATCACATGTGGCAGCCGGTGCAGACAAAACAAAATGTGGCTAATTATGATATTTTCGCCTCCAGCATTTCAATTTGTCCCTTTTAAGGATTTCATCCAGTCGAGGGATGTTTTGTCTGGCAGCTGTCAGCATTGGCAAGCTATTTCTCCTCACCTTATTACAAGTGATGTTAAATATTAAATAAATATGTCATGCGCCCATTATACTGAAATTGATACATCGACAGGCCTACAAAAATACAGATTTGGCTTGTTCTTGGCAATCAGGGCAGTATAGAGAACCGGTCTATGGAGTGAGGGTACCAATTCCGAACATGTTTGCTTGTTCTAAGTACTGTCTCACCTACACAATAAATGGGGGATGGAATTCTGGTCAGTATTTTTCCACTGAGGTGTAATTTTCTGTTAAATTTGGATTCTATAATATTGCATAACATGATAACCACCGTTATAGCTGTGTACATATAATCAGGGTCCCCAGATAGGTGACTGCGCCAGACTTACCACCCCCGATATCATGTACTATGTGATCTATGCTTGCACCGTAGGTGTGGGTAGCACACTGCAGCTTAATACAGAGTAGATTTACATCATTATTGAAGAGGAAAGGACACTAATTCAGTTTTAGCACAACTGAAAGCTAGCTACGGCTGTGCCAAAATGATTTTAAAATTCTCTATACAGTATGTCATTTCCATTTATATGCATTGACTGGCAAAGCCCAGCAGTTCTGGACGCCTGACGCTGCATCACAATTGTAACATTGCAGAAGTTTTCCTTTTCCCCCACAGTCAGGGACAGATTAAAGGGACACTATAGTCACCTGAACAACTTTAGCTTAATGAAGCAGTTTTGGTGTATAGAACATGCCCCTGCAGCCTCACTGCTCAATCCTCTGCCATTTAGGAGTTAAATCCCTTTGTTTATGAACCCTAGTCACACCTCCCTGCATGTGACTTGCACAGCCTTCCATAAATACTTCCTGTAAAGAGAGCCCTATTTAGGCTTTCTTTATTGCAAGTTCTGTTTAATTAAGATTTTCTTATCCCCTGCTATGTTAATAGCTGGCTAGACCCTGCAAGAGCCTCCTGTATGTGATTAAAGTTCAATTTAGAGATTGAGATACAATTATTTAAGGTAAATTACATCTGTTTGAAAGTGAAACCAGTTTTTTTTTTTCATGCAGGCTGTGTCAATCATAGCCAGGGGAGGTGTGACTAGGGCTGCATAAACAGAAACAAAGTGATTTAACTCCTAAATGACAGTGAATTGAGCAGTGAAATTGCAGGGGAATGATCTATACACTAAAACTGCTTCATTTAGCTTTAAGTAATTTAGGTGACTATAGTGTTCCTTTTAACATAGGGGCTGATGGAGCTGCTGCTCCAGGCCCAAGTCCATGGAATAGGCCCATTTAAAAAAAATTATTTACCACACTACTTTTAGGGTTGCCAGATATTTCTCAGAAGTATTTCTCAGATATTTGAGGCTGCCTAGCCGGTGCCGGTATTGCAGTAATACCGGCAATACAAATGTCAGTCTCAGTATAAACAGAGATTATTTTGGAATTATTCTGGAATAGCGCCGGCCAGGGGTCGCTGTGTGAGTGGAGAGAGGCAGGGATAAGAAGTTACAGCATCTCCCTCCCTGCCCTCACTACTCACTGATCTGAGGGGAAGCAGCTCTGCACAGAGAGTCCAGACAGCAGCTCCCAGTCTACAGAGACAGCCTACAGCTCAGGTAAGTGAGGGGTGGGGGGGGAAGGCGGCAGGGAGACACAGACACTAGGGGACACTGGCAGACATAGGGACACTGTGACACTAGGGGACAATGTGACACTCGGGGAAACTGGGACACTAGGGGGCACTGGGAGACCTGGGGACACAGACACTAGGGGAAACTATGATGGGGACGGTGAGAGACATGGGGACACTGAGACACTGGGGGACACAGGGAGACATGGGGACACTGGGCAACTTTGAGACCTGGGAGACATGGGGCACTCCCAGTGTCCCCATGTCTCCCAGCCAGTGTCCCTAGTATCTCAGTGCAGTGGCGTACTAAAGGGGGGGGGCGGAGGGGGCTGTCCGCCCCGGGAGCCAGCAGGGTGGGAGGTGCCATGACCAGCCCCGCGGCCCCCCCATGCTGCAGCCGCCTGAGCACTCTGTAGAGAGCCTCAGGCGGCTGCAGCTTTGCCCGGGCGGTGCGTCCATGAGGGCGGACCGCACCGCCCGGGCGCAACCTGAGGAGAGGCTGACAGGAGGGAAGCGTTCAGCGCTCCCTCCTGTCAGCTTCTTTTGCTGTAGCGTGGCCGAGCCCTGCAGCATGATGGTCCGCGGGTACAGAGAGCAGCTGTCTCCTGTACCCGGCCGGACTACAGCAAAGGTAGGGGGGGTGGGCTCGGCCACGCTACAGCAAAGGTAGAGGGGAGGGGG